CACTACTATGATCTTGTTCCAGATGCCTTGCCAACTTCAAATCAAGTTTTTCACAGTAAACACAGCACTGGCGTTTCTGCGAACGCTTTCCGCCAGAAGACCCTGAAGAAGCAACTTGTATTTTTGTCAGTGAATCTTTTATGGTCACACACGAGGATTCATCACTGTCATACACAATGTCTACATCGGCTGTATTTTCCTCGGTGGTCGCATGCTTTCCTTCAACGATGGATTTAAACACCCACTCTTTTGAAACACACTTATCTAAAACACAAAAAATGATAGGAAGTGACAATATGACAGTGATATTGCATCCATTTTCCATGAGCTAATATTTTTCACTCTCGACGTTTCGTCAAATTTAAGCATCTATTTTTTTCTGCGTCACATACATATAAGTAAGCAACCATAGCAAAGATGCAGGGTTTTAAAAAAAGATTTAAATGACGTTTAATATTTCGGTTTTGGTTTAGTCCTAGAATAAAAAATTTTGTGAACTGTTATGCAAACACAATACCTTAGCGAGTCACATGTGTCGCCTGACCAGCAATAACTCAATAAGTTTCGATAAATAGTTATAGGCACTGCATTAAAATAATGTAAGATCTATACATCCTTCGAATACTCTTTTCAGATATGCCTTTGACAAACATTTAGTATTTAAAAAGTAATAAAGTGTACTCAAAAAGTAGGAAAGCTGGATTTATGACTCTTGTACATTGCGTTTTTCTTAAGTAAGATCCATATATCTAAGAAGTTTTAAGTCAATATCTCTAATACCCGGGCAAAATTGTGTAATTTGAATAACAAAAGGCAATAACTCAAAAGGTAGAAAACAATTATGGTTCTTGTCCATTGCATTTCCTTTCAGTACTGCAAAAAATGTCAAACAGCAAGCTAGCAAGAGTTATGGTTCATGTGTTCTGCAAATTCCGTCTTTGAGAACTACTCAATCAATTGATGCAAGAAAATAATTCCTATTTTCTCATTTATGCGATTTACGAAATACTTTAAACACTGACAGTTTAAATTGTGGAAAAGTAAAAAGTTTGTTGTTCTCAGCTAACAGTCGATAGAAAGAAATGTAATGACCAATGATTCTAAAGAAATAAAATATTCAACAGAAAAATATTTTTTTTTTTTGTATATTCTTACTTGAAGTATGTAACATGTCGTCTGCACACACAACAACTGTATCATCTGTGGAGTTAATAACGTTTATACCACCAATATCCTTCAGAAGTCTCAAAAGCTGATCTAAAATCAATACATTGAATGTAATTAATCAGTTTCTCCTTAATGATTGATGAGAAATACCACGTTGTTAACTATGTTGCTAACTATATGTTCACAGTTTTTGATGCAGATGTTTATCTTTATGTGGTTGACAAGCCCAAATGTAAACTTTATTGAAGTTAATATTTTAATATTGTAAAATAATAAACACCGTTAATGAACTTAGTACATTTTACAAACCTTTGGTTATATTTGTCCATTTGTCTCCACGCAATTCAAACTCAAAGTCTTGGTGTTTACTTTCTTTACATATGTCTCCATATTTATGCATCTTAGTGACCAAATAGTTCTCCTGCAACAATAATTTATTCTTAACCATAACGTCACATTTTTGCTCATGCGATGTATATTTTACCATCAAAATGATTTTTAAAAAATTAAACAATAGCACTGTGAGAAAATGAAACTCACCATACTTAGTGCAGTGCCTGCAAGCAGAGATTCTTTCACCCATCTATTACTAACAATTGTTTTCCTTTTAACCAAGCTGTCGAATAACTCAAATGAGGTGCAGTCAGTTTGTCCATGGTTAGCTGAAAGTTTATTCATCAAATGATTTTTTCAATGTAATGAATGTAATGAATGTAATGATGATTTTTACAGAAATAAACTAAGATTGTGGCTATTTTGGAAAGTAACAATGATGAAAACTGAAAGCAGATACGATATAAACGTAATTTATTTATGCACTATTGACACAGCGGCGTGAAGTTGGTAGTAAAGCAGTAACAGCAGAAACAGCAGTATTACTGCAACTAAGACATTGCAGTTTCAACAGTAAAAACAGTAATACTGCTGATACTGCCACAAAGCTGTAGATGGTAGTAACAGCAGTAAAACAGTGCAAAAGCTACTATAATCATCTTAAACTTATACCATTATTTTATGGTTCTGATAGTATTTTTCTAACAAACCATAAATACCATATATGTAATTATGGTATAGTGGGAGTAAGAATCATATTTTGTATTGTTATAGCGTAGTAAACACCTGAATTACTGTGGTCTGTGATGTCAGTCAATATTCCTCTATTTGTCTTTGTTACAGAACAAAGTTTGCAGGTAAGTTGCAGCAATGAAATACTACCCAGACAAGAGAATTATGATTGGTGCTCTTACTTTAAAGGGTCGTCGTCGGATATTTAAAGAACTGTCTGCAATGATTGTTTATAAATCTTGAGGAATGTTGTAAATAATTTCTAAGGATTGTTAATTCAAGAATATTGTCCTTTTTAAAATATGAACTGTCGAGTGTATTTGAAGACGAAAGAAAAAGTCTAACAATTTGTAAAATCTTAGTATGTTTGTCGGACTATCATTGGCGGCGATGAAAAGACCTTGAAAAACAAATTGACAGAGGATGTCAGATGGTATTTTCCTTTTAACTGATCATGCATGTTTACAGTTTAGTAATTTGCAGAATTTAATGACCCCCGAAAATGGAAAATTATGATTGTTTTCTTAAATTTGAACGGTTGCCGTCGGGAATTGAAATATCCGATGGTAATGGAAATATTGTTGTTCCTTGAAGACTAATGTTAACAATCTGTCAGGGTATCTAAATTTATAATTCATCCTGTTTAACGAAACGAGTTACAGCAGTAAGTCTTGAGCGTATTTTCGGTCTCAAGGAAAATGGTTAAATCTTAAAAAGTTTTTAGTATGTGTTATTAACTGTCGTCGGTGCGCAATAAATGGAACACGAAGAACAAATAAACTGAGGATGTCAGTCAGCATTCCTCTATTAACTGATCTTGCAGGGTCTTTGTTACAGACAATATTATTTTAATGATTTGCAGCAGTAAAAGACCACCAAACAAGACAAACTCTGATAGTTGCTCTTTCTTTGAACGGTTGTCGACGGCATCTGTAGGCAATTAAATTATTGATGTACCTCGAATTTTATTTTGTAACTTAATTGTAAGGATATCTAAATTAAGGATACTATTGTTTTTAAGAATACAGACTTTAAGCAGTAATGCTTTTTTGCTACACATTTATAGCAGTAACAACAGTATAACTGCTATTATTGCTGTTACTGCCAGAACCTAGTAGCAGTAATACTGCTGTTACTGCTTTTACTACTTTACTGCCAACTTCACTCAGCTTCTTGACACAAGATTACATGAAATGTTACTAATTCCATAAGAAATAATTAGATTGAACTTTCATATTTTGTTTCAGTACGTTTTACATGCTATATGCATTAATTATTACTGAATTTAGTTAAATTAATACAATTACACTTACATGCTTGGACAACAACAACTTCGGCATCGTCAACATTTTCTGTGAGTAGAAACTGTTTGAACAGTAACAAAAATCCCTGTAAAGTTCAAAATATCAGCATACACACCACGAAATTTCATTGAGGAATCTATAGTTATCTTTAATTAAAGAACTGTTTTGAAAATCAAAGATTTCGACTGTCCTGTATGCATAAAGTGATTTTCCAAGTGTATAAACTGTGTTTATAATTTTGTTATCTTTTCATTCAATTATTTTGAGGTGGGGAAACATAAATTCTGTTCTTGTCCTGTAAATACGCATTCTTGTTGCAATATAATATTCCTTTATTAGGAAAAGGATTTTGAATAAAATGTTGAATCTGGTAGATTATCGTTTTTTTCTTATCAATAGCAGTCACAAGATGGCTAAAAATAAAGTAAAGACAAATTTTCTTCATGTTTATTGTAAACAGCACACTTGAAAAGAGCAAACTACTACTGTTTCTAAATGTATGCCCTTGAACATAACAAAACACCTTCAAATGTTGCTACTAAAATACTTGAGTTAAGCAAATTGTATAATAACATCTTGTTTTGCACAAGTTACTGCGTAGATTGATTTCATAAACCAGTATTGAAATATGCAAATTGTAAAAACAGCAAACGAAAACACCCAAACCAAAACAGAAAACATACATATATATAATTATTTCTTTTCCAAACAAACACATGACTGTTTCTCAGGATAAAAACTCATTTCAAGAAAAAAAACTTACTTTATTTGGTCTAACAACACAAAAAAAGATTTTTGTTGGGAGATCAGGCGCACAAAAGTCAAGAACTTCCACTGTTGTTTGATCGTCTTTCCCAAATTCATGGTCAAGGTCTCCATTAGCCTGTGCATGAATGAATGTCGAAATACGGTATTACAAATGGCTTATTGTGAAATGAGAATAATCATACACACCACACTTAAGTAAAAAATGTTCGTTTATTTAAATGCATGCAAATGTACTAAAACCTTAAAAAAAAGGTTTGAACTTAATACATGTATTTTCCATATTTATTTTCCATCAAAAGTAATTATCAAAAGTTTTTGTATATATATGCATAACCACCTAATTTGCTATTTTTCAACACTTGATGTACTATTAGATTTCACTAGAAATCCGAAAAATCTCATGTCCTATTTACAATTTATATCATAGAAGAACTTAACATAAGCTCTTTCTTGGTTTCTTGGTCATTTACATGCCCCTGATCTTCATAAGCCTACATTGAAACAAAGTGAATAAATACACACCCGAAAAAGGACAAAGAGCACAAATGGGGACAATATTACACATATCAACATTGTATCAGTCGATCATACAGAAATACAAAGGTTACATGGAATCTTACAGTAAAATCATACTTTTAAGTACATTGTTCTGTGGTTCCAATGTATTTCTTTAGAGAGAGATGAAGCGCGGACAAGATTCATGGCGGACAAACTGATGGACATTTGGATCACTATATATGAAACTAACGAAAACAATACTTGATTCATCAGCTACTCTGCTAAATTTGTATCTCTCAACCCAAATCAATGCAGTTTAAATATACATCGACTCTGAACAATACTGCACATCTGTGTATTTCTCAAAACCACATCTATTTCAGCTTTGCACCCAGTGTAATCTTACAAAGAATATGTAGAATATCATATATACCCTCATCAATACAACAAATTTGTTATATTCAGCCACTATTAAGACAAAATGCATTAATGTAGAACTTACCAAAACATCCTCTGGGTCTTCGATATGTAAGTGCTTTCTGCCATTACCGACATTTTTATCAGCCTAAAAGGACCAAAAGAAGTGATGAAAAATACTAAACATTTGCAACTGAAACACAAAGATAATACGTCGTTTCTGTGACTCCCAAAAGGTTTTCATTATTTTTTTAATTTTTAATGTTACATTTCTGCATCGTTGTTTATTTGACAAAAGTAAATTAACGTATAGCATAAATGCGGTTAACTTAAAAAAATAAATATGACGAACAACAAATTATCAAGAAGTTAGCTGAATATATATTTTAAGTCATAATAGATAATTGGTTTTAAATACTCACAACATATATAGCTTAATTATGCACAGAACTGTTAAGAATATGTCTTTATAACCTCAGATAAAATCTACATTGGATAATAAAATGTTTAAATCAAATGTTTATTTTATAATAGTCGATGGTTAACAAGGTCATGTAATTAAAAGAAGCATTTACCAGTGCATCGTTCTGTAAATGTTCGGTTATTACTTCACTCTCTTGATGAATCCGGATTGCATCAGTCTGCAAAAGTACAGGAATAATTTTAACGCATTAAAAAACGAGGACAAAAGCACAAATGTAAACATATACTAAAACGCATCAATTAATGAAGACTATTTTAAAGTAAAAACCACACACGGAGACACAAAACCGTACAATTCTAACATCACTGTGTTGTTCTTACAGATGAATTCATTTTCCAAGCGTTTGTTATATCTTGCATAGAATACGTAGACAGACGTTAGATTATATCAGAAGAATTTATATCACTAAGGAATTTTAAACAACATTTTTCTGAGTTTCTTGGTTTATTACATGGCTCTTATCGTAATAAGCCTGCAAAAAAAAGAATGAAAAACACACACATCCAAATAAGGACAAAGCGCACAAATGAGAACAATATCACACACACTAGATCCATATCAGTCGATCATATAAAAACACAAAGGTTAAATAGAATCTGACAGTCAAAACATACTGTAAAGCACGTTGTTCTCTGATTCCGACATGTGTATTTAGAGAGAGATGGAAAGCGGACAAGAGTATAGCGGACAGACGGATAAGATAAACGGACGGACAGTGTGATACTTATGTCCCTTCTGGTACATGCCACTTATAAAGAAACAATTTGCTTCATAAGCTACTCTGTGAAATAAATTAGTATTTTTAATGCAAAATAATGCATCGACTCTGAAAAAAATTCTCTTCTGTGCAGCTACAAAAAACAAATTTATTTCCTCTATGCATTCTGCCAATATTTAGACAAAATGAATGAATGTAGAACTTACCACAACAACCTTTGGGTCTTCGATATGTAAGTGATTTCTGTCATTACCGACATCTTCATCAGCCTACCAAAAACCAAAGTGAAAATAATACACATCAAAATAAGGACAAACAAATAAAATTAGGACAAAAATACACACATCAGATAATCAGTAAATTACATACATAATGAACAAGCACTGATCTACAATTGAAAAACAATGATAAATACATCGTTTTATGACTTCAAAATCATTTTATATATTTTTGTTTGTGAATGTTACTTGTCTGCATTATGGCTCATTTACGTTACTGAAATAACGTATACCAAAATGTGGATAATATTAAATAAAAGAAAGTTATATTACAAGCAATAAATAATAAGCATCCAGATAAGTATGTAAAGCCATAAAGGATGTTCAGCATAAACTACTCACACCATATATAGCTTCACTAAGCACGGAACAATAAAGAATATGTCTCTCTGACATGAAATTAAATCCAAATTGGGAACTTAAATGTTTACTTTAAATGTTAATTTTATTCAAATGCCTGAATGTAGAACTTACCACCACATCCTTTGGGTCTTCGATATGTAAGTGATTTCTGTCAGTTCCGACATCTTCATCAGCCTACCAAAAACCAAAGTGAAAATAATACACATCAAAATGAGGACAAACAAATAAAATGAAGACAATAATACACACATCAGAAAATCAGTAAATTATAATTATACATAATGAGCAAGCACTTAACAATCTGCAACTGAAAAACAATGATAAATACATCGTTCTATGACTCCAATATCAATTTAATTATTTTTTATGAATGTAACTTGTCTGCATTATGGTTCATTTAACAATATTGAAATAACGTATACCAAAATGTGCATAAGATAAAAAAAGTTATATTACACGCAATAAATAATAAGCATCCAGATAAGTATGTAAAGCCATAAAGGATGTTCAGCATAAACTACTTACAACATATATAGCTTCACTATGCACGGAACTATAAAGAATATGACTCTCTGACTTGAAATTAAATCCAAATTGGGAACTAAAATGTTTACTTTAAATGATAATTTTATGATAGTCGTGTGTAAATAAATAAAACATTTACCAGTGTATCGTTCTGTGAATGTTCGGTTATTACTCCACTCTCTTTATGATTTAAGACTCCATCAGTCTGCAAAAGTGCAAGAGTAATATAAACCCAATTGCAAACGAGGACAAAAAAAAACACAAATGTAAACAAATTTTAAAAAGCATCATTTAATAAGGTTTATAATTGCATATGATTAAATGTGAACTTCTCTGAGGTACAAAGAAAAACACTTTCTGACATAAAATACCGTACAATTCTGATATGTATGTGCTGTTACGAAAATATGAATTAATTTGTCAAGTATTTGCTAAATCTTTAAATGAATACGTAGACAATCGTTAAATTCATCAGCTGATATTAGACCAATTTATATCACTGTAGACTTTAACACAACATTTTCTGAGCTTATTGGTTTATAACATGATAATGATCTTTATAAGCCTGTATTAAAACAAGAATGAAATACACACACACCCAAATAAGGACAAAGTGCACAAATGAGGACAATATTACACACACTAGATTTATATCAATCGATCAGATAGAAATACAAAGAAAACTGTGTCTTCGATATGGTTAATTAGAGATAAGTGAAGTGTGGACTGAATTCATGGTACACAGTCGGACAAACGGACTAACAGCATAATTACCATACGCTTTCGGTATATGACCTTATGTAAATAATATTTGATTCGTCAGTTACTCTGTAAGATATTTAAGTATCTTTAAGCGCAAAATGATGCATTTGAAAACACTCAACGACTCTGAAATTATTGCTCTTCTGTGTAGCTCTAAAACTATATTTATTTTCTCTTTAAATCTAGTGAAAATTTACAATGAAATGTAGACACTTCTGTTTATACTTTACTCTTTCATAAAACAAGAAAGTTATATTCAGCCAATATTGAGAAAAAAATGCATTGATGTTAAACTTACCAAAACATCCTTTGGGTTTTCTATATGTAAGTGATTTCTGCCATTACCGACATCTTTATCAGTCTACCAAGAACCAAAATAATACACATCAAAATGAGGACAAAAATCAAATGAAGACAAAAATACACATAATAGATAATCACTAAATTCAATAACTTATGAAAAAAGAACAACTAAATATTTGCAACTGATACTTCGTTTCGGTGACTCCAAAAACGTTTATAATTATTTTCAATTATTAATGTAACATTTCTGCATCATTGTTTATTAAATAATAGTTAAATAATGAATAGAAAAAATGCGGATGAAATCTAAAAGAGAAAGAAAAAAAGAATAAAATATGTTAAAACTAATATAACATGTCTGCATCATTGTTTGTTTATCAATAACTAAATAATTGAAAACTATTCTGAAGTAGAAATCACACACTGACACTTGATACCGTATAATTCTTATATACCTCTATTGTTCTTAAAAGATGAATTCATTTTCCAAGCGTTTGTTATATCTTGCATAGAATACGTAGACAGTCGTTAGATTATATCAGAAGAATTTATATCACTAAGGAATTTTAAACAACATTTTTCTGAGTTTCTTGGTTTATTACATGGCTCTTATCGTAATAAGCCTGCATAAAAAAAGAATGAAAAACACACACATCCAAATAAGGACAAAGCGCACAAATGAGAACAATATCACACACACTAGATCCATATCAGTCGATCATATAAAAACACAAAGGTTAAATAGAATCTGACAGTCAAAACATACTGTAAAGCACGTTGTTCTCTGATTCCGACATGTGTATTTAGAGAGAGATGGAAAGCGGACAAGACCTATGGCGGACAGACGGATAAGATAAACGGACGGACAGTGTGATACTTATGTTCCCTCTGGTACATACCGCTTATAAGGAAACAATTTGCTCCATAAGCTACTCTGTGAAATAAATAAGTATTTTTAATGCAAAATGATGCATCGACTCTGAAAAAAATATCTTCTGTGCAGCTCTCAAAAACATATTTATTTTCTCTATGCATCTAGTAAAACTTACAAAGACTTTGTGGACACTCCTGTAGATACTTAACAATTTGATAAAACAAGTAAGTTATATTCAGCCAATATTTAGACAAAATGCATGAATGTAGAACTTACCACAACATCCTTTGGGTCTTCGATATGTAAGTGATTTCTGTCAGTTCCGACATCTTCATCAGCCTACCAAAAACCAAGTGAAAATGATACACATCAAAATGAGGACAAACAAATAAAATGAAGACAATAATACACACATCAGAAAATCAGTAAATTATAATTATACATAATGAGCAAGCACTTAACAATCTGCAACTGAAAATCAATGATAAATACATCTTTCTATGACTGCCATATCAATTTAATTATTTTTATGAATGTTACTTGTCTGCATTATGACTCATTTAACAATAGTGAAATAACGTATAGCAAAATGTGCATAAGATAAAAAAAAGTTATATTACACGCAATAAATAATAAGCGTCCAGATAAGTATGTAAAGCCATAAAGGATGTTCAGCATAAACTACTCACAACATATATAGTTTAACTATGCACGAAACTATAAAGAATATGTCTCTCTAACTTGATATTAAATCCAAATTGGGAACTAAAATGTTTACTTTAAATGTTAATTTTATCATAGTCGTGTTTGAATTAATGAAACATTTACCAGTGCATCGTTCTGTGAATGTTCGGTTATTACTCCACTCTCTTTATGAATTAAGACTCCATCAGTCTGCAAAAGTTCAAGAGTAATATAAACCCAATTGCAAACGAGGACAAAAAAAACACAAATGTAAAAATTTTTTTTAAAAAGCATCATTTAATAAGGTTTAAAATTGCATATGATTAACTGTGAACTTCTCTGAGGTACAAAGAAAAACACTTTCTGACATAAAATACCGTACAATTCTGATATATATGTGCTGTTACGAAAATATGAATTTATTTGTCAAGTATTTGCTAAATCTTTAAATGAATACGTAGACAATCGTTAAATTCATCAGCTGATATTAGACCAATTTATATCACTGTAGACTTTAACACAACATTTTCTGAGCTTATTGGTTTATAACATGATAATGATCTTTATAAGCCTGTATTAAAACAAGAATGAAATACACACACACCCAAATAAGGACAAAGTGCACAAATGAGGACAATATTACACACACTAGCTTTATATCAATCGATCAGATAGAAATGCAAAGAAAACTGTGACTTCGACATGGTTAATTAGAGATAAGCGAAGTGTGGACTAAATTCATGGCACACAGTCGGACAAACGGACGAACAGCATGATTACAATACGCTTTCGGTATATGACCTTATGTAGATAATATTTGATTCGTCAGCTACTCTGTAAGATATATATATATCTTTAAGCGCAAAATGATGCAGTTGAAAACACTCAACGACTCTGAAATTATTGCTCTTCTGTGTAGCTCTAAAACTATATTTATTTTCTCTTTTAATCTAGTGAAAATTTACAATGAAATGTAGACACTTCTGTTTATACTTTACTCTTTCATAAAACAAGAAAGTTATATTCAGCCAATATTGAGAAAAAACGCATTGATGTTGAACTTACCAAAACATCCTTTGGGTTTTCTATATGTAAGTGATTTCTGCAATTACCGACATCTTTATCAGTCTACCAAGAACCAAAGTAATACACATCAAAATTAGGACAAAAAATCAAATGAAGACAAAAATACACATAATAGATAATCACTAAATTCAATAACTTATGAAAAAAGAACAACTAAATATTTGCAACTGATACTTCGTTTCGGTGACTCCAAAAAAGTTTATAATTATTTTCAATTATTAATGTAACATTTCTGCATCATTGTTTATTAAATAATAGTTAAATAATGAATAGAAAAAATGCGGATGAAATCTAAAAGAGAAAGAAAAAAAGAATAAAATATGTTAAAACTAATATAACATGTCTGCATCATTGTTTGTTTATCAATAACTAAATAATTGAAAACTATTCTGAAGTAGAAATCACACACTGACACTTGATACCGTATAATTCTTATATACCTCTATTGTTCTTAAAAGATGAATTCATTTTCCAAGCGTTTGTTATATCTTGCATAGAATACGTAGACAGTCGTTAGATTATATCAGAAGAATTTATATCACTAAGGAATTTTAAACAACATTTTTCTGAGTTTCTTGGTTTATTACATGGCTCTTATCGTAATAAGCCTGCATAAAAAAGAATGAAAAACACACACATCCAAATAAGGACAAAGCGCACAAATGAGAACAATATCACACACACTAGATCCATATCAGTCGATCATATAAAAACACAAAGGTTAAATAGAATCTGACAGTCAAAACATACTGTAAAGCACGTTGTTCTCTGATTCCGACATGTGTATTTAGAGAGAGAGATGGAAAGCGGACAAGACCTATGGCGGACAGACGGATAAGATAAACGGACGGACAGTGTGATACTTATGTTCCTTCTGGTACATACCGCTTATAAGGAAACAATTTGCTCCATAAGCTACTCTGTGAAATAAATAAGTATTTTTAATGCAAAATGATGCATCGACTCTGAAAAAAATATCTTCTGTGCAGCTCTCAAAAACATATTTATTTTCTCTATGCATCTAGTAAAACTTACAAAGACTTTGTGGACACTCCTGTAGATACTTAACAATTTGATAAAACAAGTAAGTTATATTCAGCCAATATTTAGACAAAATGCATGAATGTAGAACTTACCACAACATCCTTTGGGTCTTCGATATGTAAGTGATTTCTGTCAGTTCCGACATCTTCATCAGCCTACCAAAAACCAAGTGAAAATGATACACATCAAAATGAGGACAAACAAATAAAATGAAGACAATAATACACACATCAGAAAATCAGTAAATTATAATTATACATAATGAGCAAGCACTTAACAATCTGCAACTGAAAATCAATGATAAATACATCTTTCTATGACTGCCATATCAATTTAATTATTTTTTATGAATGTTACTTGTCTGCATTATGACTCATTTAACAATAGTGAAATAACGTATAGCAAAATGTGCATAAGATAAAAAAAAGTTATATTACACGCAATAAATAATAAGCGTCCAGATAAGTATGTAAAGCCATAAAGGATGTTCAGCATAAACTACTCACAACATATATAGTTTAACTATGCACGAAACTATAAAGAATATGTCTCTCTAACTTGATATTAAATCCAAATTGGGAACTAAAATGTTTACTTTAAATGTTAATTTTATCATTGTCGTGTTTGAATTAATGAAACATTTACCAGTGCATCGTTCTGTGAATGTTCGGTTATTACTCCACTCTCTTTATGAATTAAGACTCCATCAGTCTGCAAAAGTTCAAGAGTAATATAAACCCAATTGCAAACGAGGACAAAAAAAAACACAAATGTAAACAAAATTTTTAAAAAGCATCATTTAATAAGGTTTAAAATTGCATATGATTAACTGTGAACTTCTCTGAGGTACAAAGAAAAACACTTTCTGACATAAAATACCGTACAATTCTGATATATATGTGCTGTTACGAAAATATGAATTTATTTGTCAAGTATTTGCTAAATCTTTAAATGAATACGTAGACAATCGTTAAATTCATCAGCTGATATTAGACCAATTTATATCACTGTAGACTTTAACACAACATTTTCTGAGCTTATTGGTTTATAACATGATAATGATCTCTATAAGCCTGTATTAAAACAAGAATGAAATACACACACACCCAAATAAGGACAAAGTGCACAAATGAGGACAATATTACACACACTAGAATTATATCAATCGATCAGATAGAAATACAAAGAAAACTGTGACTTCGACATGGTTAATTAGAGATAAGCGAAGTGTGGACTAAATTCATGGCACACAGTCGGACAGACGGACGAACAGCATGATTACAATACGCTTTCGGTATATGACCTTATGTAGATAATATTTGATTCGTCAGCTACTCTGTAAGATATATAAATATCTTTAAGCGCAAAATGATGCAGTTGAAAACACTCAACGACTCTGAAATTATTGCTCTTCTGTGTAGCTCTAAAACTATATTTATTTTCTCTTTAAATCTAGTGAAAATTTACAATGAAATGTAGACACTTCTGTTTATACTTTACTCTTTCATAAAACAAGAAAGTTATATACAGCCAATATTGAGAAAAAACGCATTGATGTTGAACTTACCAAAACATCCTTTGGGTTTTCTATATGTAAGTGATTTCTGCAATTACCGACATCTTTATCAGTCTACCAAGAACCAAAGTAATACACATCAAAATGAGGACAAAAAATCAAATGAAGACAAAAATACACATAATAGATAATCACTAAATTCAATAACTTATGAAAAAAGAACAACTAAATATTTGCAACTGATACTTCGTTTCGGTGACTCCAAAAACGTTTATAATTATTTTCAATTATTAATGTAACATTTCTGCATCATTGTTTATTAAATAATAGTTAAATAATGAATAGAAAAAATGCGGATGAAATCTAAAAGAGAAAGAAAAAAAGAATAAAATATGTTAAAACTAATATAACATGTCTGCATCATTGTTTGTTTATCAATAACTAAATAATTGAAATTTATTCTGAAGTAGAAATCACACACTGACACTTGATACCGTATAATTCTTATATACCTCTATTGTTCTTAAAAGATGAATTCATTTTCCAAGCGTTTGTTATATCTTGCATAGAATACGTAGACAGTCTTTAGATTATATCAGAAGAATTTATATCACTAAGGAATTTTAAACAACATTTTTCTGAGTTTCTTGGTTTATTACATGGCTCTTATCGTAATAAGCCTGCATAAAAAAAGAATGAAAAACACACACATCCAAATAAGGACAAAGCGCACAAATGAGAACAATATCACACACACTAGATCCATATCAGTCGATCATATAAAAACACAAAGGTTAAATAGAATCTGACAGTCAAAACATACTGTAAAGCACGTTGTTCTCTGATTCCGACATGTGTATTTAGAGAGAGATGGAAAGCGGACAAGACCTATGGCGGACAGACGGATAAGATAAACGGACGGACAGTGTGATACTTATGTTCCTTCTGGTACATACCGCTTATAAGGAAACAATTTGCTCCATAAGCTACTCTGTGAAATAAATAAGTATTTTTAATGCAAAATGATACATCGACTCTGAAAAAAATATCTTCTGTGCAGCTCTCAAAAACATATTTATTTTCTCTATGCATCTAGTAAAACTTACAAAGACTTTGTGGACACTCCTGTAGATACTTAACAATTTGATAAAACAAGTAAGTTATATTCAGCCAATATTTAGACAAAATGCATGAATGTAGAACTTACCACAACATCCTTTGGGTCTTCGATATGTAAGTGATTTCTGTCAGTTCCGACATCTTCATCAGCCTACCAAAAACCAAGTGAAAAATGATACACATCAAAATGAGGACAAACAAATAAAATGAAGACAATAATACACACATCAGAAAATCAGTAAATTATAATTATACATAATGAGCAAGCACTTAACAATCTGCAACTGAAAATCAATGATAAATACATCTTTCTATGACTGCCATATCAATTTAATTATTTTTTATGAATGTTACTTGTCTGCATTATGGCTCATTTAACAATAGTGAAATAACGTATAGCAAAATGTGCATAAGATAAAAAAAAAGTTATATTACACGCAATAAATAATAAGCGTCCAGATAAGTATGTAAAGCCATAAAGGATGTTCAGCATAAACTACTCACAACATATATAGTTTAACTATGCACGAAACTATAAAGAATATGTCTCTCTAACTTGATATTAAATCCAAATTGGGATCTAAAATGTTTACTTTAAATGTTAATTTTATCATAGTCGTGTTTGAATTAATGAAACATTTACCAGTGCATCGTTCTGTGAATGTTCGGTTATTACTCCACTCTCTTTATGAATTAAGACTCCATCAGTCTGCAAAAGTTCAAGAGTAATATAAACCCAATTGCAAACGAGGACAAAAAAAAACACAAATGTAAACAAAATTTTTAAAAAGCATCATTTAATAAGGTTTAAAATTGCATATGATTAACTGTGAACTTCTCTGAGGTACAAAGAAAAACACTTTCTGACATAAAATACCGTACAATTCTGATATATATGTGCTGTTACGAAAATATGAATTTATTTGTCAAGTATTTGCTAAATCTTTAAATGAATACGTAGACAATCGTTAAATTCATCAGCTGATATTAGACCAATTTATATCACTGTAGACTTTAACACAACATTTTCTGAGCTTATTGGTTTATAACATGATAATGATCTTTATAAGCCTGTATTAAAACAAGAATGAAATACACACACACCCAAATAAGGACAAAGTGCACAAATGAGGACAATATTACACACACTAGATTTATATCAATCGATCAGATAGAAATACAAAGAAAACTGTGACTTCGACATGGTTAATTAGAGATAAGCGAAGTGTGGACTAAATTCATGGCACACAGTCGGACAAACGGACGAACAGCATGATTACAATACGCTTTCGGTATATGACCTTATGTAGATAATATTTGATTCGTCAGCTACATGTACTCTGTAAGATATATAAATATCTTTAAGCGCAAAATGATGCAGTTGAAAACACTCAACGACTCTGAAATTATTGCTCTTCTGTGTAGCTCTAAAACTATATTTATTTTCTCTTTCAATCTAGTGAAAATTTACAATGAAATGTAGACACTTCTGTTTATACTTTACTCTTTCATAAAACAAGAAAGTTATATTCAGCCAATATTGAGAAAAAATGCATTGATGTTGAACTTACCAAAACATCCTTTGGGTTTTCTATATGTAAGTGATTTCTGCAATTACCGACATCTTTATCAGTCTACCAAGAACCAAAGTAATACACATCAAAATGAGGACAAAAAATCAAATGAAGACAAAAATACACATAATAGATAATCACTAAATTCAATAACTTATGAAAAAAGAACAACTAAATATTTGCAACTGATACTTCGTTTCGGTGACTCCAAAAACGTTTATAATTATTTTCAATTATTAATGTAACATTTCTGCATCATTGTTTATTAAATAATAGTTAAATAATGAATAGAAAAAATGCGGATGAAATCTAAAAGAGAAAGAAAAAAAGAATAAAATATGTTAAAACTAATATAACATGTCTGCATCATTGTTTGTTTATCAATAACTAAATAATTGAAAACTATTCTGAAGTAGAAATCACACACTGACACTTGATACCGTATAATTCTTATATACCTCTATTGTTCTTAAAAGATGAATTCATTTTCCAAGCGTTTGTTATATCTTGCATAGAATACGTAGACAGTCGTTAGATTATATCAGAAGAATTTATATCACTAAGGAATTTTAAACAACATTTTTCTGAGTTTCTTGGTTTATTACATGGCTCTTATCGTAATAAGCCTGCATAAAAAAGAATGAAAAACACACACATCCAAATAAGGACAAAGCGCACAAATGAGAACAATATCACACACACTAGATCCATATCAGTCGATCATATAAAAACACAAAGGTTAAATAGAATCTGACAGTCAAAACATACTGTAAAGCACGTTGTTCTCTGATTCCGACATGTGTATTTAGAGAGAGATGGAAAGCGGACAAGACCTATGGCGGACAGACGGATAAGATAAACGGACGGACAGTGTGATACTTATGTTCCTTCTGGTACATACCGCTTATAAGGAAACAATTTGCTCCATAAGCTACTCTGTGAAATAAATAAGTATTTTTAATGCAAAATGATGCATCGACTATGAAAAAAATATCTTCTGTGCAGCTCTCAAAAACATATTTATTTTCTCTATGCATCTAGTAAAACTTACAAAGACTTTGTGGACACTCCTGTAGATACTTAACAATTTGATAAAACAAGTAAGTTATATTCAGCCAATATTTAGACAAAATGCATGAATGTAGAACTTACCACAACATCCTTTGGGTCTTCGATATGTAAGTGATTTCTGTCAGTTCCGACATCTTCATCAGCCTACCAAAAACCAAGTGAAAATGATACACATCAAAATGAGGACAAACAAATAAAATGAAGACAATAATACACACATCAGAAAATCAGTAAATTATAATTATACATAATGAGCAAGCACTTAACAATCTGCAACTGAAAATCAATGATAAATACATCTTTCTATGACTGCCATATCAATTTAATTATTTTTTATGAATGTTACTTGTCTGCATTATGGCTCATTTAACAATAGTGAAATAACGTATAGCAAAATGTGCATAAGATAAAAAAAAAGTTATATTACACGCAATAAATAATAAGCGTCCAGATAAGTATGTAAAGCCATAAAGGATGTTCAGCATAAACTACTCACAACATATATAGTTTAACTATGCACGAAACTATAAAGAATATGTCTCTCTAACTTGATATTAAATCCAAATTGGGAACTAAAATGTTTACTTTAAATGTTAATTTTATCATAGTCGTGTTTGAATTAATGAAACATTTACCAGTGCATCGTTCTGTGAATGTTCGGTTATTACTCCACTCTCTTTATGAATTAAGACTCCATCAGTCTGCAAAAGTTCAAGAGTAATATAAACCCAATTGCAAACGAGGACAAAAAAAAAACACAAATGTAAACAAATTTTTAAAAAGCATCATTTAATAAGGTTTAAAATTGCATATGATTAACTGTGAACTTCTCTGAGGTACAAAGAAAAACACTTTCTGACATAAAATACCGTACAATTCTGATATATATGTGCTGTTACGAAAATATGAATTTATTTGTCAAGTATTTGCTAAATCTTTAAATGAATACGTAGACAATCGTTAAATTCATCAGCTGATATTAGACCAATTTATATCACTGTAGACTTTAACACAACATTTTCTGAGCTTATTGGTTTATAACATGATAATGATCTTTATAAGCCTGTATTAAAACAAGAATGAAATACACACACACACCCAAATAAGGACAAAGTGCACAAATGAGGACAATATTACACACACTGGATTTATATCAATCGATCACATAGAAATACAAAGAAAACTGTGACTTCGACATGGTTAATTAGAGATAAGCGAAGTGTGGACTAAATTCATGGCACACAGTCAGACAAACGGACGAACAGCATGATTACAATACGCTTTCGGTATATGACCTTATGTAGATAATATTTGATTCGTCAGCTACTCTGTAAGATATATAAATATCTTTAAGCGCAAAATGATGCAGTTGAAAACACTCAACGACTCTGAAATTATTGCTCTTCTGTGTAGCTCTAAAACTATATTTATTTTCTCTTTCAATCTAGTGAAAATTTACAATGAAATGTAGACACTTCTGTTTATACTTTACTCTTTCATAAAACAAGAAAGTTATATTCAGCCAATATTGAGAAAAAACGCATTGATGTTGAACTTACCAAAACATCCTTTGGGTTTTCTATATGTAAGTGATTTCTGCCATTACCGACATCTTTATCAGTCTACCAAGAACCAAAATAATACACATCAAAATGAGGACAAAAAATCAAATGAAGACAAAAATACACATAATAGATAATCACTAAATTCAATAACTTATGAAAAAAGAACAACTAAATATTTGCAACTGATACTTCGTTTCGGTGACTCCAAAAACGTTTATAATTATTTTCAATTATTAATGTAACATTTCTGCATCATTGTTTATTAAATAATAGTTAAATAATGAATAGAAAAAATGCGGATGAAATCTAAAAGAGAAAGAAAAAAAAGAATAAAATATGTTAAAACTAATATAACATGTCTGCATCATTGTTTGTTTTATCAATAACTAAATAATTGAAAACTATTCTGAAGTAGAAATCACACACTGACACTTGATACCGTATAATTCTTATATACCTCTATTGTTCTTAAAAGATGAATTCATTTTCCAAGCGTTTGTTATATCTTGCATAGAATACGTAGACAGTCGTTAGATTATATCAGAAGAATTTATATCACTAAGGAATTTTAAACAACATTTTTCTGAGTTTCTTGGTTTATTACATGGCTCTTATCGTAATAAGCCTGCATAAAAAAAGAATGAAAAACACACACATCCAAATAAGGACAAAGCGCACAAATGAGAACAATATCACACACACTAGATCCATATCAGTCGATCATATAAAAACACAAAGGTTAAATAGAATCTGACAGTCAAAACATACTGTAAAACACGCTGTTCTCTGATTCCGACATGTGTATTTAGAGAGAGATGGAAAGCGGGCAAGACCTATGGCGGACAGACGGATAAGATAAACGGACGGACAGTGTGATACTTATGTTCCTTCTGGTACATGCCACTTATAAAGAAACAATTTGCTCCATAAGCTACTCTGTGAAATAAATAAGTATTTTTAATGCAAAATGATGCATCGACTCTGAAAAAAATATCTTCTGTGCAGCTCTCAAAAACATATTTATTTTCTCTATGCATCTAGTAAAACTTACAAAGACTTTGTGGACACTCCTGTAGATACTTAACAATTTGATAAAACAAGTAAGTTATATTCAGCCAATATTTAGACAAAATGCATGAATGTAGAACTTACCACCACATCCTTTGGGTCTTCGATATGTAAGTGATTTCTGTCAGTTCCGACATCTTCATCAGCCTACCAAAAACCCAAAGTGAAAATAATACACATCAAAATGAGGACAAACAAATAAAATGAAGACAATAATACACACATCAGAAAATCAGTAAATTATATACATAATGAGCAAGCTCTTAACAATCTGCAACTGAAAATCAATGATAAATACATCGTTCTATGACTCCCATATCAATTTAATTATTTTTTATGAATGTAACTTGTCTGCATTATGGTACATTTAACAATATTGAAATAACGTATAGCAAAATGTGCATAAGATAAAAAAAAGTTATATTACACGCAATAAATAATAAGCATCCAGATAAGTATGTAAAGCCATAAAGGATGTTCAGCATAAACTACTTACAACATATATAGCTTCAATATGCACGGAACTATAAAGAATATGACTCTCTGACTTGAAATTAAATCCAAATTGGGAACTAAAATGTTTACTTTAAATGTTAATTTAATCATAGTCGTGTGTGAATTAATGAAACATTTTACCAGTGTATCGTTCTGTGAATGTTCGGTTATTACTCCACTCTCTTTATGAATAAGGACTTCAACAGTCTGCAAAAGTGCAAGCGTAATATAATCCCAATTGCAAACGAGAACAAAAAAAACACAAATGTAAACAAAATTTAAAAAGCATCATTTAATAAGGTTTATAATTGCATATGATAAACTGTGAACTTCTCTGAGGTACAAAGAAAAACACTTTCCGACATAAAATACTGTACAATTCTGATATATCTGTGCTGTTACGAAAATATGAATTCATTTGTCAAGTATTTGCTAAATCTTTAAATGAATACGTAGACAATCGTTAAATTCATCAGCTGATATTAGACAAATTTATATCACTGTAGACTTTAACACAACATTTTCTGAGCTTATTGGTTTATAACATGATAATGATCTTTATAAGCCTGTATTAAAACAAGAATGAAATACACACACATCAAAATAAGGACAAAGCGCACAAACGAGGACAATATTACACACACTAGATTAATATCAATCGATCAGATAGAAAAACAAAGAACATTACTGCCAAAGCACACTGTTAAGCACATTGTTCTGTGATTGTTAAGGGATAAGTAAATTGTGGACTACATTCATTGCAGACAGGTGGAAAAACGGACGAATTACAGGATTACTATATGCTTTCCAGTATATAACACTTATGCAGATAATGCCTGATTCGTCAGCTTCTCTGTAAGATATTTTGGTATCTTTAAACGCAAAATGATTCAGTTGAAAACTCAACGATTCTGAAAATATTGCTCTACTGTGATACCCTAAAACCATATTTATTTCCTGTATGAATCTACTGAAAGTTTACAATGAAAATGTGGACTTTACACTTTCACAAAACAAGTAAAGTTATATTAAGCCAATATTGAGACAAAATGCATTAATGTAGAACTTACAAAAACATCCTCTGGGTCTTCGATATGTAAGTGATTTCTGCCATTACCGACATCTTTATCAGCCTACCAAGAACCAAAATTATGCACATCAAAATGAGGACAAACAAATCAAATGAAGACAAAAATACACATAACAGATAATCACTAAACTCAATAAATTATAAAAAAACTAAACATTTGCAACTGAATCATCGTTTTTTGTAATTTTCACTGTTTTCAATTGTTAATGTTACAAAGAGAAAATTTTATATGACTATGTCTTTCGTTCTCATCCTGTCCTGATTTATGTTAAAGTATGGCTATATAAATGTATATGTAAATTCTATATATTTTGGGAATAGAATATTTTTTAACTAATGTAACATGTCTGCATCATTGTTTATTTATCAATAACTAAATAACGAATAGCAAAAATGCGGATAAACATAAATTATGCACAGTACTATAAAGAATATGTCGTCATTACCTCAGATAAAATCTACATGGGCACTTATATGTTTACAATGAATACTTATTCTATCATATTCGACTGCTAACATGTTAATAGGTATTAAAGAAACATGTACCAGTGCATCGTTCTGTAAATGGTCGGTTATTGCTTCACTCACTTTATGAATTAGGACCTAATCAGCCAGCGAAAGTTCAAGAGAAATATTAACACAATAAAAACAAATGTAAACATGATTTAACCTATCATTTAATGAAGTAAATAATTGCGTATGATAAATTGTGAACTATTCTGAAGTAGAAAACACATCCTGACAGTAAACACCGTACAATTCTTACATATCTATATTGTTATCAACATATGAATTCACTTTTTAAGCGTTTGCTGAATTTGAGACTTGAAAAGAATATGTAGACATCCACAGAACGATGCACTTGAACAGAAACAATTCCCTGATGTATTGATTTGGAAATACGAGCAGTACTATTTAAGTCATTTCGTAAAAAGAATTGTCCCTTTTTATCGGTTCATTCACCAGGATGTAGAATTGGAGCATAAACATACCGTTCTCCAAGGTAAAGTGTCTACTCCGTAGTCAAATCTTAACTCTTCATTGACGGCAATGTCTCTATTAGCAAACAAGCAAAGATGAGGCTTTCCATCCACTGGTATTATCTTCATCTCTGCATTGTTTTTAACAGTACCTTTCTTTGAATCATTTACCATTCTACCGGAATAGAATATATCCTCAGTTGCATCAATGCTGAAAGTAAAATTAACATTTTGTAATAGAGTTATATTGTTATTCAAGAACATACTGGTTTTGTTAAAGCCAAGTAGTCCAATAGAATCGAATCTTAAACACTTATAAAAATGTCTACATATCAACTGAATATGATCTTTGAGGGCATTTGCGACGGATTAAGACTGATCATAATAGCTCAGTTGGAGCATTTTGTACAAATGTGAGCTGAAAATATTCACATGTTAAACAGTAAAAGAACATACCATAGAGTTTTACTATTGTATTTGAAGAAATACATAAAACTCCCTTCGTTTTTCTCGTCATAGCTCTTTTCTAACTTTCTTGCAAGGCTGTATTTATCAATTAATTGACCCCTATACTCCAATAGGAACTCTCCTTTAGAAAAGGTTTTGGTTGTAAAAACGCCTTCACCTGAAATTTAAAATGTTACCATACATGTATGAACTGTAGAAGAAATACATTAAGTGTTTTTTTTCTTTAACGGTCATGTTTAGAACTTATCTTCTTGTACAATACCAAATTCCAGATGTTTTTGTAAAATTATGAAATATTTTAGTTTAAGGAATGTTACAAAATTACAATAGGTCATTTCTTTACCTTTAGACATTTTTCAAGCTTAGAGTATTTTTCATTTCCTATATATATCTTCAGATTTCAGATTTAACTACAACAGGTAAATACAAAATGGTTTCACGCTATAAGTTAATTGAACTCGGAAAGTATTTAAAAAAAATGCCAATTTTCATTTATAACATCGCATGTGTCAATTAAGTGGAACCATTTCAAATATTTATCCTAATTTACTTTAATATATTGATTTTTAAGAAAAACAAAAATTATAGCCGTTTAACGTAGGTAATTTGTAATATTTTTAATTGAGTACCCCTACCCCAAGTTTTCTATGAATTCTTTTTTCTTTTAACACGCCATGATTATACAGATTTTATCAAAATTGCTACTTATATCAAAATTATACAAAGTCAAAAGGAAGAAAAAAATCTGTACTAGACGAGGTGTTGCAAACATGCCTTACCTAACACAGCTGTAAAATACAACATTAGTGAATTCTTGGTTCTTTTAAAAGTACATGAATTATATTAGAATTTCCAATTTTGAAATTACAAGTTTAACTGTAAGTAAATTGGGAAAAAAGTGAAATTGTAAAATACTCTCTGTTAATTAATTTTAAATTTTGATATAATTGCTTAATTCAATTTTTTTCTGCGGTGCAATATATTTTAGTTTCCTTGTTAAATAGCATACTACATGTACGTAACTTTTTCAAAATTTCAAACTGTTTGAAATGCTTGAATACATAATCATAGAAAGTTGCATGGGAATGAGATGCGTCCCTCAAAAAAAAATTATGGATAGTTAATAGGGTAGAAATGAACGTACCTATTGTATCATTTATGTATCTCACATCAAATCCTGGTGGGTCACAGTAGGCTTTACATGCTGCTTTTGCTTGTTTAAGTTGATTATCAGCACTGTAACAGTAAAAATGAGAAAAAAATATAAAAAATATATTTCAACATATTCGGTTGAAGATATCGGTCTTATCATTTATATACACAATGTAGAATAAAATAGGACTGGTATTATTTAAGAAAGTAATATGTGTATGGTTAGCAAAAGCTACAAACTGACACCGGAAGAAAAAATCGTACCGTACCTCGTCTGACCTGTTTTGCAAAGTGCATTAATTAATTGCTAGCATATTAATAACAATATGAATTTGATAAATAATCTTACTTGATTTTCATCCTTTTACTTCGTGAAGCCGACATTATTGATAGTCTCAACTTTACACCTTACTAGAAATGAAAATACACGTCCTCCCAACTTAAAGATCGGCAATTTGTGCGCTGTTTAACCATAAAGCTAATTGGTTCTAACTCTGGCAGATCCTCCCAGATGCCCATGAAAGTAAAATAACGGTAACGGTCGGTCATGACATTACGGTCAGTAATGGCATAAAGTATCAACAGACTGGTCATTCATACATCAAAGTGCAAGATTCTGGCAATGACTTCTTTGTATTTATTGTGAAAATAACTTTCTTCAGGATTAATTTAAAAAATGCAATTAATAATTAATATGAATGAAATTTACGAAAATCCTCAGCATGCAAATGTATTTTGCGTTAAATATGTTAAGTGATAGACTGATGTTTTATGCAAGAGAGTAGCTGGTTGTGCATTGAACAACGTATCTAAATTGAATTAGTCGAATAAATGACACCTACATTAATTATCAACAGTGATTATTGCTAAAACACCTAAACCTTTTAGAATTTTTTTGCTCATTTTTATCACACAAATACAATTAAATATCTATTATACAAAAAGAAGCATAACAAACAGATTCCTTTTTCAAAACTTATTCTTTCAGATTAATCAATACAGAAATTATCTCTGTTCTCTAATTATCTGCACATTAAATGTATCGCTTGGTAATAAATACAACGCTTTGAGGCCATGGATGGTACATTATTATACAAGGTGTTATTTGGTTTTTTGTCTCTGTAACTCCTTTAGATATTCGTCCGATGGAACTACAATTTCTTTTATATTGAAAATCTATTTGGAAAAAAAATGTCTTTTATGAAAATTAGCAGGAATTTTGCACAAAAGAGTGCAAGTTTAGCAATTCCTTGCCAGGCAAATTCACAAAACATAATATTTATTTTTATCCTTTCTATTTGTCTGTACTAAAACATTAATGAAAACTAAGCTCTGTCGTGATAATTTAAACACAATCAAACAAAATGAAACGTGCTTAGATATTAAGCACGGGAACATTAACTTAGTTGAATCCCCTTTCATCATCATAACTTACATTCTTTATGACGGGGCATAGCTGTAGAAAAATGCATCTTTGTAAGTTCCTTACTGATAGCAATATCATTACTATGTTTGAAAGACACAATCTGGTCAAGAGTTTAGACACAATCTGGTCAAGAGTTTAAATTAATCACATAACGGGTTATCTAATTTGCGAGACTGACCAGAGGTAATAAATCAGTGTCATTAGAAAGCAACCATACTGGCAAGCTGCTAAGAGATTAACTGCATCGCTAATTTTATTGGATGTTTATTTCTTATAACAGGGAAATGTATTTTTTTTCCCACTAGATGAAAAATATGTTATACCAACAAAGAAACTATAAATCCGCTGACGAATTTATTTTTAGTAAATTGTCAGGAGAATTAATAAGAAAATGTAGCCTGTAAAAGTTTACACAGGTAACAATGTATTAAAGTGCATCCTTAGAATATATTCATTAATGCTATGAAATAATTGTTTTCATATTCATTTCACGTTTCAATATAAATTCTTCAGACAACGACCTTCAAATAACTTCAGATAAAAATTGTATATGTTTATTCAGAGTCGGCCAGCTCCGAAGGAAGACGACACATGAAAACCCTGTCACTTGAGACCACCATTATAGGTTTATTCTTTTAAATAGAAATAAGAAACGTTGTAAACGATGTTATATCTTTATTTTCTACGAAATATACTTAAGTACATAAGAGGTAAAAGGTTACTATACTAGAATACATAAGAGGAAGGAAAGGGGTAATATACTATAATACAATAGAGCCTATAATGGAACACATGCATTATGAATGATCACAAGAATGTTTAGTCAGAAGCGTATTATATTTAACCCTTTCAATGCTGAACACGAATATGAAAAGCCTTTGCCACCAGCAAAGAGCCAGGTCAACCGGCACAGAACATGCCGGCTAACCAGGCTCTTTATTGTTGGCTGCTCATTTTTCCAATTCATATCTTAAAGCCCCCAAAAAGACAATAGATAAGTTTAAACATTGAAGATGGACTAGTCCATTATTAAAATGCAGCATTAAAAGGGTTAAAGCTTATGCAAAACACCTTAGAAAATATATGTTTTGCTTTTTTTAAAATAAATTAAGTCCGTTACTTAAACGATTTTTCTACTATTGAGTAACTTATGACAAAGCGTTAAAATCCCAACGATAAATTAATATGAAAATGCGATAAAATTTATTTCTTAGAAAATCACTTTTTTCATTTATTTTTTACTATTTAAGGATGCGAAAGTAAATAACTAGCAAATCTGATAACATTTTAAAGTGTTTCACTTCAAACTTATTATCTCCCTTTAACATGCAATTCTTTTTTCATGAACAGTAATTCGACTTCTGAAATTTTTCTGTTTTGTTATGTATAAAGATATAAAGTGGAGCCATTTTTTTAAACAAAATTTTGTACAAAAGTATGGACTGTCTCTTCAAGAAATATTTAATATGTTTTGTGCTTTGTCGGACAGGAGTTCAGATGCGCAGTAATTAAGTCACGAGTGCGAAACACGAGCGAATTAATAACTCGCATCTGGAAGACTTCCTGTACTTTTTGCAAACAAAGAACACATATATATTGATTATTCAAACAACGCCATTACCGCGGAATTTACAGTAGTTATAGTGTTTTTTTTTCTTTGCATAATGTTCTTCGGCTTTTTTTGTTTTGAAAAAAAAAATGTAACCACAGTTCATTCATCTGGACACCTAATATTCAACATTGTAGTTTTAATTTGAATTTCAATAATAAACTCTGAAGTTGAGTTAGTCTTAAAATTATTTATAATCAATATCTAAACTGAATACTGAAAGAAATAATAAAATTGCTGTATTTAATGTTATTTTGAGCACGCTATCTTATTTTGATTTTCTGCCATATAGCGAAAAATAAATCATATTCAACTCAGTTACGTACTTGCAACGGTTTAAAGATGTTTGCAAAAATTAAGTTCCTATATTCCCTCAAATCCCGCAATAAAATATTTTAGATGAAAAATGAAACACAGTCATTGTCATTCTATTAAGACGTTTTAATCTTGTTACGTGAACGCATGTTTCTCAAAAACTATAATAAAATGGCTGAAAAATGATATGGAAAAAATGATCAAGGGAGCGCGCATATTGATAAATGACAAAGCATGACAAAAAGTAAAAAAATACACATGACTCTGCTTATAACGACTTCATAACTAGACCCTGAAATATCGTTCGTTATATCAGAAGTTCGATAGAAGCGAAGAAACGACAAAATTTGAAGTCATATTCAGGTGGGCAAATTTGCCACTGTTACCGGTTTCAAGTGAATTTTCAAACGTTAACGAAATCATCGTCTGTAACACTCCCGGCAAGGGAATATTTTTTGCAATTATTCGATTTAATAATGATCGGATACGGATATGTATGTTCTGATCTTTAACTGCGCGAAAACTTGACATTCTTTCAAAACAGTTCGTAACAAACGAGAAAATTTACCATCGTTGGTTAGGAAAATGGTATGTTATTCGAGTAGCGATTTAATTTTACATAAAATAGAGAAGGATTCGGCCGGGGTTTTAAATTAAGTTCATTATTCCCGATAATTCGTTTAAAGTGAGATCATTATAAGCGGAGTCGACTGTATGCCATTAGACTAATAAAAGCATGCACTAAACTACATACGTCGTATATCAGTAAACGGAACTGGTCTTTCAAAGACCAAGTAAAGAAGTCAATAGAAACAACTAAAATTATGAATTTAGGAGAAAACTCAGTTAGTTTTTGTATCTGAATAATTATTGATAAGCGTTTTTCATTATTGAATATTGACGTTTTAACAGAAATTGTATTCACAAGCACATCAAACACTATAAAAAGTCCGCAAGTAAAAGTCTTGAATTGTTTCTGATGAATAAAGTGTCCCCACATGTGTCCAATTATTGTGTTCTTTACTGGGTCCTTGGTCTCTGGTCAGCAAACCTGTAAGAAAAAGAAAGTACTATTATGTTTTCAGAACTTTGAACCAATAGCTTTCCCTATTTTGAAAAAAATGTACAATTTAGACAAAATCTCTTCAGCGACTTTTAGACATATTTTATCGCATATATATAAATACATCGTACAATACGACTACCAACAGAAAATACATTTTCTGTTTTAGATCACAAACGTCGATCGGTGATATCATTCCTATGCTGATAATCCGCGAGACCATTTTTGCATCCGACTTTGTTTTATCTTTTATAATTTTTTTTTCAACAAGTTAAGTGCTCCAAAGGTATGTTTTCAGTTGAAATGGTCAATTTGCCAGTCTGACGAGCCCATTTTGAAGAAGAAAAAAATGAGCATACACTTTGAAGCTATTGATGTAAGCAGCCAATCACAATTTGCAAAAACAAAATGAATCGCAATTTTACGAAACGAAGAAAGACGAGGCTCAACCCCAGCTTCCGTGGAACTTTTTTCGAAGTAACACAAAACATATATATTATTTTTACTTCTTTCACCAAGCATCACAATGCTCATTAGAAATTAAGAATTGTATTTTGCAGAGAATTTTTGCAGTTTACAGATCGAAATTTATTGCCGTTTATTCTTTGAAAAAGGAGAGACCAACTTACTTATTACATTGTCTTTATCTTATTCCGCTCACAGAGCTTTACCGCCCTGTCAAGCTCCGCCTCGTCCTTAAACTTGATTTTCCGCTCCTTTTCATCTTTGATCTGAAAATATATAAATAATAATTGTGAACAATCTTTTAGTTGTTACTTATGTTTTAATTTAATAAAAAATATATAAAACAAACACTAAACATAGTTTTATGTACCATCTAAACAAGTATCATTGGTCATATAAGACATATGAGCCGTGTCACGACAAAACCAACATAATGGGTTTGCGACCAGCATGGATCCAGATCAGCCTGCGCATCCGCGCAGTCTGATCAGGATCCATGCTGTTTGCTTACAAACCCTATTACAAGAGGAGAAACTGATAGCGAACAGCATGGATCCTGATCAGACTGCGCAGATGCGCAGGCTGGTCTGGATCCATGCTGGTCGCAAACGCACTATGTTGGTTTTGTCGTGACACGGCTCATATGTTCTTTAAGTGATATAAGAATTATAATGCATATATTTTTAGTACGATAAAGCTGAAGATCCACAACATTATAATATCATAACACCTTGAGGATAAAATGACAATTCGTTTGACAATGCTAACTTTTAGTTCACTTTAATAATAAGAGTACTCCACTCCAGGTTTCGTGTTCACAACGATCAAGATCAGGATCTAAATATTATTATCCATTATTTATTCTGAATTATTATTTAGATTTTAATTGATAAAACTTGACGTCTAAGAAAGTTTAGAATATTTTTTTCTTATATTTACAAGAAATGGCCATTTACAGTTGATCCAAACTAAAATTTTGATAAAATTATTTTGTATTTTGTTTTGTTCTTAAGTTAATTTTATCTCTTTTCTTAACCAAGCAATTCAAATGTGTAATATTTAATTCTAGCATTATACAATCAATTTTAGTTTTATAAAGCAATGGAAATAAAATCAGAATCCTGGTCTTTACTTTATGAACACGGGGCCTGATGACTAAAAAAATCTTTTACATTCTGATTTCAATAAAAATTACATGTAAGTGATAAGAAATGCATAAAAATAAACAATCCGTGGAAAAAATACATGGTTTTTTTTTTGTGTGAGTTTTACACAATCAATTTATCATCAAAATTCTATCCCGTGACTAACGGGGTATTTTAGCATATTTTGGCTAATTTTTATGGGTTTTTTTAAAGAAAACAAAGTGTCCTAAGAAAGATTAAATACACGTTATTGTATATTTGTCATAATGTGGACTTATTAGAACATTTTTGTAAATTCAAATTTATCAAAGATCTGGGCTCGAGTACCTTTAAAATGAACAATTAAACATTGTTACTTTTTTTTAAAGTTGAAGAAATTACAACACTCCTTTCGTTATCTCAAAAATCTGCCACTAATTAGAAAACATATGATGGAAGCGTTAATCGTTTTTTATTCAATTGCATAGTTTACTTTATTAAAAATAATATCCAGACCAATTTTGCAAAAAGGCTCTTATTCAAATTAATAAAAAAAATAAAAAAACATCGAAGACTTTTGTGTTGCGTCAGATATCTGCAAAAATGCCCCTAATTTGATTTAAAACTGATTTAGTATAAAATTTGATGACAGCGATAGTAGACATTTATTATAAAAGAACTGATGTCTAATATATTGTGCTCAAAAACAACACAAATTATGATATTGAACACATAGACATTAATGATATGTTAAAATAGGTAATTAATCTATCGAATTTAAATTTAAATAGTTTTAAACGCGTAAAAAATGTAGGGTGTATATTAAACAGTTTCAGACATAGACACAATATATAATTATGTAATGCAAATCATTAATTCTTTCTTACTTATAAAAAGTATTTTTACTTGTCTAAATAATAACGTCGTTAATTCATAAGTGATATTTGGATTTATATTTAAACCACACTGTGCCTCCGGAAGTTTTCAAAATTAGGCCAATATTTCTGCTCGTCAGAACAGATGGAAGGACAAACATACATTAAATTATTTGTTTTAAATTTGCATGAGAACCACATTGTAAGAGTGACTTAAGCTTATCTCTAAATAAGATATCGTTAAATAAAATGCATTTCAAAATTATTTAGAGACATCCGTCTGTACAAAATGACGTATCATTCCTGAAAATTTCACTGTGCCACAATCCATATTTTGAAAATTTCACTGATAATTGCAGGACTACAGACTAACGCGCAGAAAATAAACATATGTGCACATATTTACATTTGAAACAATTTTGGATAATTCGCTAGCTATAGTATATAAAATTACGTTTACCCACAAATAAAAGACAAGACCAATTTTATCTAAAAACTGTTCAAAAAGAATGATGTTTATTTATTTTGAAATGTTAATGAGAGATCATAATTTATGTTTAAAGTTGATAAATGTGCTTTTTAATTTAGCAGAATGGTATGTGCATAAATTAATTACAACATAATCGAATAAATTGACATCCGCACGTATAATTACTTCAAAATATTTTAATTTCTATAACTTACTTCGTATGGTATTGCATCCTCCTTCAAAATTGTGATTAGTTTTCTAAAGTCTCCGTCCTCAGAGACGATCAAAAAATATCCTTGTGGAGTTTGTGACATGTTTTTTCCTTTAACGTGTAAGTTTAAATGCAAATTTCAATTCCTTCGCGCTAACACGAATCACGTGACTTGTATACTTTTGTTCATTCTTTCAAGGGGCGGCTCTATACCATAATTAAATAGGTTATACGTGTATGCATTAATGAACGTATTGGAAGACCAATGATTACCGTATTGTTTTGGTTGCAATAAAAACAAAAAATATAAATGGGATATGTAACACGATCACATTAAAGATACAATACAAGACCAGAATCCTTGAAAACTTTATTTTGAAAAAACATGACAAAGTTAGAATGAAATTAAGACACTTTCCATGAATAAATCAGGATTTGCAACACATAATACAAAACACATGAGGTATTTATGAAGATACTGATTTGTTACTCGGATTTGACAAAATGACCAGCCAGGTCTTTTTTAAGAAATTACTATATTTTCTTCAATAGTCATATAATTTGTTTTACAGATTAACTTTTTTAAGACACAAACTGTCATTATATTTGCATGTTAATATAATTATGCTGTCAGATTTCTATTTTGTTAACCTTCATTATCGCCTGTTTTGGACCTTTAAATCATTATGCATTAGTATTTCAATACATTGCAAATACACGAGTATAAAGTTAATAGATGGTCAACGTCTGAAGCTTAAGTTTTAGCGAAAGACACCCAACATTATTCATTAAGGATATCAAGGAAGCTGAAGGATACACAGGCAGTCATACGCGAAGCACAAACAATCACACAACAGTTATATAAATAACCAGTTTGTGACAACATATAAGAGAAATACCAAATTATGAAAATATTTGGTTACATAATTGATTTCGATAAACAAGATCATTGTTAATTTGAGGTTAACTTTCATTTCCTACATAGAAAGTAAATCCTATTAAAGAATTCATAGAGTCTGACACACTACGAAGGGTGATATATGCACATATTGATTATTATGATTATGCATGCGGCTTAATTTCATTGCACGTTACGCAACAACACTCCAAGACCAATTCAGTTATCATGTTCGTGTATGTGTATGTATGTAATAAATTGATGCATATGTCACTGTATTTGAACAAAACTGTTAAATTATAAAGTGATGAAATATTAACACAAGAATCAAATATACCGGAAATGACTTTGTGCCTCTTTACCAGTACTACCCAATGTATAGATTTGTCATGTTGTAATTTTGTAAAGACCTGATATATGAATAAAGTACTTTTGACTTTGAAACGATTTCATGTTTTATCACTTTTAAGACGTCTTCCATTTAAAAGTACACATCACTTAAATATAAATTGCATTGAGCAGATGTAAGTATCCCCTAAAATTTTGCATCTGATACGCCCCAACATTAAGCCCGAAACTCATCTATTAAAGGTCGGTGCTTTTATCAGCTAGGGTAAATGTCATATGACAACATTTATAATTGCTAACATAAAACAAAGCTGGTTTTGTTTCTAAGGTCATGTTTGTTTAAACCAACGGCATGTATCACCGAATTAAAAAACAATAAAAACACGTGTTCTTATCGCTATCACAATTAAAAGCGTTGATACCTCCCCGTTGACGTTTTTGTTCATGGGAAGAAAAAGATATTTAAAGGCCGCATACCAGAGAGTGAGCAGATCACTGTAACCTGAGATCATGTAAACATTAATTCAGTCGTCTGCTGGTACACTATGTAACAGTTTTATGAATAAGTGAAATTTGTATGTGCATTTTGTTATAGATTCTATTACCAGGAAAGTTATATCAGACAGATATTAAAATTTACCTGGAAGGAGTACACTTCATATCTTTACTCCAAAATTTACTAATAATGCAACTATTTGTTAAACTCAGATCAGATGGTTTAAGCTTTATAATGCAGTCTAGAAGATATTTTTTACATGTAAATTCATCATAATATTATGTAATTTATACATTTGTTTAAATAAAAACAAACAATTACTGTTACTTTAATCATAGTCAGTGCCGTAGCTACGTTGAGGCACACCGAGGCAGCTGCCTCTGTGTTTTTTGGGCATATATCATTTTCGCAAATAACTTCAAATTCTCCCAGTTATATCCATTTTTTTTTTACTTTGAATATCTGAACAGAACTCCGAGGCAAAACGAGAGCGCGAATGTTTGTAGTAGGTCTTTTGAAGTACAACATAAGTACCAAGTACGGTAAGTACCAAATACCCCATTATGTAACAATATACGAAATCGATATTTTTATTCTATCACCGGTCCGTCAGAATATAAACAATACACCAGCGCCAAATTTATAGGCAACTAACAGCTGTAATCAGATCTCAACATGATGGTGAGTATATTGAGTATAAAATGGATAAATGTTGTGTTATTTTTTTAATTGAAATCATAATCTTTTCATATGCCCAAAATATTTAAGATATAAACAAAATGTCTTTGAAGCGTCACGCCTGACTACAGCGCTGATTTTTGTATTGATTTTTAACTTAGCACAGTGGTTGCACTCGGTGGCATAAAGTTTGACTACAGAGTTACAATGCTGCAATTGGTTGGTGGTTCGAACCCCACACGGATCGATTTTTTTTTTGTCTCATTTTATAGCTTTTTTTTTTCGTTTTAGCGGAACGCCGAAATAGAAAATCTAAAGAAATTCATTCTTTACTAGCATTCTTGGTATATCTTTAACGTAGTTAATTGCACCCAAAACACGCCCAAAATGCAGGAAATCGCACCAAGCATATATAGAAATTTTCCGGGGGGGGGCATGCGCCCGGACCCCCTAGGTATTTGGTTCTGCCTCGGTGTTTTTCTAGGGCTGGCTACGACCCTGAAGTTTAAGTGTATATGTATCACTCATATTTATTATGCCGACTAACATTACAACCAGCAAAACGATAATTCCCCGCCAAATGTCAGATAGATAAATTCAAGCAGTGATTCATAAAACAGCCAGCTGTGAGTGGTGTAACTGCCAATCATTTTGGTGGTAAATTCAAATTTTTAGCAGACAACATTTTGCTTTTTTTCTAGAAAGTACATTTTTAGACTTATCTAAAAGTTAAATTTTCAGAAAAGAAGGGATCTTCAATGAAGATACTTTATGCCAAACTTTACAGTATTCTGTTCATTACATTTTTTACAAATTTTATTAAACCTCTGATGTTGTAAGTTTACATTGTAGCACAAGAGTGGCCATTTTTTCTACCTGGGTCACTTCTTCCCCGGCCTTTAACTATTTCAACGGAGAAGAACAAGCATGTAGTAAACAATCGTCATAAAAAAGCAGGAATAAAAACAACTACAACAAAACAAAAATCGTCTAAGAAAATGATATTGATTTTGATTTTGCCAATGTAATATCAACTTTGAAATGCGTTACCTCGCAGTATACGTTGTTCTACCAATTTTCTATAACCCAAAATCCAATACTTAGGTTTTTATTGAAATATCTGTCAAAATATATGTTATTAAATTTGCGAAGGTTTTTGAAACAGTTTTCTGTAATATTAGATTTTTGTAAGATGGTTGAACCAGAACGAAACGTGGAGAATTGACTTTTGAAGACAAGTAATGACCAAGGAAACCTTTTATTAACGTACTTACGCCAAAAATTCCGTAAAGTCCTGTGCGTTTTTAATAAAAAATTGCGCACCTGCGAATTTCATAACTTTTAACGTATACTTACGCACACATTTGGCAGCCTAAAAATTACATGAACATCCGAACATATTGTTAGGAAGAACGCAAAATGGAAGATTTTTTTCAGGGAAATACTTCAAAAGAGATTAAATTTGAGAGTGGTATTCCTACAGTGAGTTTTTTTTTCAAAAAAATTACAAATACAGAAGTACTTCTGTAAAACATCGTCAAAATTAGCCTACTTATGGACTAAGTTCGCATGCAAAAAAAAAAAAAAGTAAAAAGGATTGATATATCTTAAATCATTGAGCATATATTTATCTGTTTACAAAAACAGTGAAAAGCTTACTTCATGTAATTTTGTTGCACACATTTTCACATTTTTTCATATCTTTAAAACATTTAATACATTCAACCATTATTATAAATGAAAGTTTTTTCCCCACCGTACAGGCCTAAACACGTACAACATGTATTGCATTATAATACCCGTTCTAGATTAATAATATCAATTTTTAGTTTGTGCAGGAGAACCATTTTGATGCCTCAAATTTTCAGAGATCCATATTTTTCTATCAATTCAATATAAGTTCAGCGGGAAGAAAATTGGCTCATGAAAATTACATTCACTGGATTTAGAAAATGACTAAAAATTTCAAAACATGTTGACTATGTTTTGGTGTTTCCATTTCATATGAAATATTGTCTTTTTTCAATGTTTCAGCGAAATCCTATACAAATGTACGGGGGCAGTTATTAGAACAGTTTTTCTGTCATTAGATAACAACTTCTAGAAATGGGAAACACGTCGGTGGATATTAATAGAAATATTTTAATAAACGTGTATTTTGCAATTAAATATCGAAACAATCTAAGTTGAGAGCTTTGAGCTGCAAAAGGGATTGATTTGTATTTATTGTAAAAAATTTTGCATCTATTTCAAATTCTAACAATATAGAGTTTTAACATAATACTTTACGAAGGCTTGACTTACATGAAATTAACATTTGAAAATGAACAAATATGCATAATGATGGAAGTTATTTACATATATTAAAAAAAATGCGAAACAATTTACCAACAGTTTTGCTGTTTTTTAGCGGTTATTGTATTGATTGACAGTAAAGAATACTACTCTACTTAAGACTTACGAACTTTTTCAACGTACGTGTAAGAAAAAGTTTACGCAAGTTTTGTAAAACGCACTTACGATTTACGTAAGTGTTTACTTAAAGTTACGCAAAAGCTTACTCAAAACTTACGAAATGTTAGTAAAACGCTACCCATGACAACATATTTTCGTTGTCCATGACATGACTTGTCTTCAAAAGTCAGTTATCCTCACTTTACTAGACACTGATGCACAATTATTAACACAATACATTTCTACGATTTCTCGTGTTGGATATATTCCTTGTGGAAGTAAAGGCTCTGGTAATTATAGAACCATTCAAACCAGTTCTCCCTCCCTCCGTCCCTCCCTGTCTCCCTGTCTCTCTGTCTCTGTCTGTCTCTGTCTCTCTCTCTCTCTCTCTCTCTCTCTCTCTCTCTCTCTCTCTCTCTCTCTCTCACAGTCTCTCTCTCTCTCTCTCTCTGTTTACTTCCTGTCAACTGTCGGTATCTATTGATCACGGGTTATGAATTAACAGGACTGGTTGCTTACTTGATTGACGCTTGGGCGCGCTCCTATTGGATTTTGCTACCGTGCGAGCCGTCAGTCAT